TGGGTTTTCAAGAATTTTTTTGTAAATGCTTTTTCTCACATTTTTCTTCCACTGTCACCATCCTTCTGAGCTTTATCCCCTTGTTTTGCTCTACTGATTTGTTCATACCTCACAAGTAAGGTTTTTCGTTTAAATCATTTCCCAAATAGGTGAAATGCAGGATTGGATTTGTTCCAAATTTCATAATAATGAGACAAAAACAACTATAATTGGTCTTATAGAGTGAAGATGTAGAGCAAATAAGCTCTTTCCCAAATCCTAGCTACCCTAATTTTGAAGAAAAGTTGATAAAAATAAGTTAAAAAGAGAAAGTCAATATAATTGAAGAATCTCAAATTTTTATAAACAAATAGAAAAATAAGGGTAAAAGGAGTTGAAAATTAAATTCCAAATCACCCCTAATCACTAGCCATGGAAGAAGATATCATGGATTTTTTTTTATTAATATGTACTTTAAAAGTATATATTAAGAATATATTTTTATCATAAATTTAATTAAAAAATAAAAATTAACATTAATTTCAATGTTATTATTACCTAAATGAATTTAATTAGATAATTAAAAATTAAATATTAATTTTTATTTTTAAAAAATTCTTAATACATACACTAAAAGCAAAAAGTGAAAAAAGAAAAACCTTTTTTCATTTTCAACAATACCTTCCTTTCTTCGAAACTTTGGCTCTTTAACTGTGTAAACTTGCGATGGGCCAAGAAACTTGGTAAAGAAACTTGGTAACTTGCTATTATAAGTTACCGGTCATCTTTTGAAAAGAAGCGGCAACGTGGAAAAAGGAGAGAGGAAGTGCTAAAGAGCGATTGTAGGAGCGAGTGCTCCTAGTGCTAATCATATATCATCAGCAATGACGTTTTGGTTTCTCAAGGGGTGAGAAGGGATAACAAGCATTTTGTAGATGTGAACTCTTATCATCGTACATGCCCCTCGTTAACCGTACATAGCTTTGTATAATTTGGTTCAGGTGTGTACTGTTTGACGTTAAACTTTTGGGGGGTTAAAAACAGAAAGAGTGTGGTACTTGCTTGTTAACTTTGTTAAATTGTAGGATGCTGATATGCCCACACTGTGAACCAACACCCATATCCACACACACCCGGTCGGTTTAAATAGTAAAATTGGATAATCTTCCTGACAGCCTTATTCCCTACTTATCCAACAGAAATCACCCCCTAGAATGTTGACCATCTTCTTGCGGTAACCATCATCACAGCCTCCACCTCCATCAGTCGTCATCACCAAAGCTGATTTCAAACAATAAATGTAGACAAATGCTGGCACAAATCCGGACTAAACCTCAAATCCTCCGCAGAGAATCAAATTGAATCCAAAACCTGCACAATGCCGATCACCGAAATCTTGAATTCCTCCACAAAATCTCCACACAACAACAAAATTGAAAATTCTCCAAAAAATATAACAAACCAAATCTCCATTTCCAGGTCAAAATTGAAGGTGCATTTCAAGGATTTTCAACCTTCCTTTCCCTCCTCCTCGTCCTTTCTTTTTCTCCTTCTTTCCCTCTCCTCCCCTCTTTTTCCTCCTCCCAAATCTGGGTTCTCC